AAAATCAAGGGCGAGGACCAGGGTAAGTAGTACCACGACTGCATTCGAATATTCCAAACCTATGCTGCTTTCTCCGCGTCTCATAAACTTATTGTCATCGTAGAACGCGTTGCAACTAGAAAGCTTGGTATACTATTCAATGTTTTACTGACCTGTTCTTTTTTCACATTTCTAACCCTCATTTCTTCAACCACAACTGGGTCTTGGATTTGCTCGCCTTTCATTATTCGTTTTCTCTGTGTCTTGCTTGAATTGAATGCCAGCTGTTAAGCATAAGAAATCCGGTAAGATGATTTGCTGCCATGTATATTGCTACTGGCCGATATTTATAATTAATTGGGTTATTTCATCAGCATCAGACATATATTTCGGCCTTATGGATAGTATATCAAGTCCTTCAAAATGGGCTAAAGATTGGACTAAAGATAGTAAACAAAAGAATGGAATTCTATTTCGCAATCACCGACCCGCTAATGCCTCTGATATTCCAATTCAGTTTTACCATCAAATATTTGAAACGTTTATCAACTTTGCAAGGGATTGTCGAATATCAGAGAAGGAATATGAACTTGTACTTGAACTTGCCTCTGTGATGTCCGGTGTATTTTCGGACGAAAGCCAGAGGGAAGATGCTTTCAGATGTTGGCTTGAGTTATTTTTTGATAATGAAATAGTAATTCGACCAGAAGAATCAAATGAAGCCCACCAAAGTTCACGAATTGGTGAACTAAGGACAGACGGAAGTATATATCCAAAGATCGGTAGAGATAGAGTCCTTTTGGTAAACTTAGAAGTTAAACCTGAGCCTGGTACAAATGGCGATTGTTACATTCAGAACGATGCCTACTACAAAGAATTTGTAATCAAGTCCCGTAACCAGAAATCGGAGTTTTATAATAGGACCTGTTTGCCTGCTTTTCTTATCAATCTAGATGGTATGTATATCTTTTAACACCCGATCACTATACCCGCTATCACCGATTTTAAATGTCCTCTAACTTCAAAAATAATAATACAGGACCAAATATATCGATATCCGGTGCTGTTTGTGCCCCTTTCATTGTTTGCGATCGCCTTACAGACATTTATCCACTGGATATAATTACTTACGATAATGCTAAAGCAGATGATGTTGCACGAGTATTTCTGGCCTTAAAAAATTCTATACATCTATTAAAAGATTACTATAATTCCGTTTATGAGTCGAGAGAAACCTCTTGCAATACTAGCCCTTGGTTTCCACGCATCAATAAGATTGATTTAGAAGAAGGAACGGCCACCATTAAATATAAGGAGAAGCATTCTATAGATCGAAATTTATGGATTGTAGAAATCCAGACCGAAAATACGCAAGAGAAGGGTTTAGTCAAATTCACCCAAAAATATTCCAAAGAAGCACATAGTACATGCTTCGAACTAGGTCTAGCACCAAGATTATGGGCAGTTAATAACCTTCAACAAGGCTGGAAGATTGTCGTTATGGAATATTTGGAGGAACATAAACCACTACATACTTTTCATTCAGAATTACTTCCCCAAACAAAAAATGTGGTTAAAAATGCTGTAAAGTTGTTTCATGATTCCGGTTACGTACATGGAGATCTTCGTGATGTAAACATCATGGCCAAATACAAAAATGGTGAAATTGATATAAAATTTGTGGATTTTGATTGGGCGGGAAGAGAAGGAGAGGCAAAGTATCCCGAAAGTCTAAACCCTGATATTAACTGGCATCTAGATGTTGGCTGGCACAAATTAATCAAGAGGGAGCACGACAATCATTTAGTTGATAATATAATGTCTGATTACGAACCCTCAAAAAAGCGACGACGCCTCTCAGAATGGATGAATTAATAAATTATTTACGTTCTTTTATTTTAATATAGCATTTCTATTATTGTCATTTACACTAGTATTGGGTGCATCACGGATAAAACTAAAATATATACTTTGTCCAACACCAAAATAATTTTTATGATTGGGAATTATTTTTAGCGCTCAATAAATCGCATTTTTTACACGAAATTTGAATAAGAATTTTTTGTAACCATATTTTACATCCGCATATAGAAAGACTGTCTATTGTTCCTAGGGTGGTGAAGATAGTTCTAACATTTTTTGTATTATATATTCATAAAGAGACTATCAAAGATATAGATTTTATGACTAGGGAGGTCACGCAAAAAACTTAATGGATTCATTCGTGTTCGCTTTATTTCACGCTATACAGGTGCAAGGCACTCCAAAAATAACATATTTTAAATAATGACACTTAGTGCCCAGAACCTTTATTATAAAAATAAAAAAAATGTTGCCGGAACAACAATATACAAATAAAAAAAATATTATTTTTTCATATCAGCATAACCGGCATCATCACCTTCACCATTTCCTTGATCGGGGATGAATTCGAACATCAGATTTATAGTATATTGTAACCGCACTATTTTCTGAAGTGGACCTTGATTATTCTTAATTTCTTCCAGATCTGTTTCACTATCACCAATCTTAAAATATTGACCCTCTTGTTTATAAATTTTACTAAAATGAAAAAAAATGAGATATATAAAACATGTAATACAAAAATATAAAAACCGAAACAATTAGAAAACTCTGTAATTTACAATTCTTTCGGCTTGTTAGGTTCTACTAATTCTAGCGGTTCATAAGATTTCCCTTCCTCATCAAGATGAAATATTTTTATTTCATTAGGTCGAGGTCCTGGGTTCTCTATAAAAAATTATATTGATTAACTACGACTTCATTAACAAAACTAATAAAAGAATTTACCATATTTAACTGAAACATATCCCTCCATTGCAGATTTTTTCAAAAAATTATATATGAGCAAAAAAACGTTATCAATACCCATCTTTACAAGACAAAAAATCGCTTATTTTTATACTGTCTATTCGTTAGATCTAAAAAACTTGCTAGAAAAAAAATTACACAATTAGTAATTACGTCACCCTAACACAATGCTAGACAACACTTAACGGGCAACTCCGTTCGGTTATAAGTTCTAAATACTGTTTTGTTGTTTTTTAGGTAAATTAAGCCCCTTAGATTCGACGATCGCACATGCGAAGTAAAAAAGTTAACGATCTTGACGATCTGTGAATTCCAAATCCCTGTAACATATGAATTTTGATGAAACTACTGATAAAGAACGTCATACTCTTTACCCTTATAGCCTTTTTAAGTCCCATTCTTATCGCGGGATCTTATATAAGGTAAGGAAAAAGTTCTAGAGCGCGTAGTTATTACTGTTATTACTGTAACTGTTAATCAAAAATCGACCGTGAGAAATGATTCTGTAGAAGAGTGATACCACATACCTAATTTCGTGTGACCTGTATTACCATAATAAAAATCGGCAAAAATTCTAATACGTATCGCTATTTCAGACCAAATACAGTATTTGTAAATGCAGTCTGTCAACACGTAGTCGGGAAATATATGTGTACGTGGTTGTGTCTCATGGAATGAGGATGCTTTGCATTTAAAAATAATGTGCATTTTATGTTTACGGTAAGTCACCTATTCTTAGAATATCCAAGCCTTATTCTAGTGCAGTATAACGATAAATCGTATGTTGATCGAACATCCAACTTATAATAGAACATCGAAATTTTATTTTTAATACGTACTTACAAATATTTATACTAACCGCCCCTTGAAAACAAACATACTATTGTCGGATATTTACGAGCCACATAACAATAACCAACTTGAAACATTCCTTGTGCACTACATGCATGAGGCTCGTATATAAAATCTTTTTTTTCATTTTTTATCTGAAATTTTTTACCAATCTTTCCTTTCTTATGCTAGATAGTTTTTGTGTTGATAAGACAGTTGCTGGAGCTATTTGTGCGGGTATGCTTAGTCAAGCAAAAAATTTCGTCTCTTAATATTGAGCGATAGGGCCTCTGACTATGTGTGTTGTGAGATTGAACATGCTCATAATTACCGTTTGGTAGCTCAGTACTTTGGTGAAAGTGATTGTTTGTTCCACAAAAAATATGTTATCCTTTATAGAATAGTCTTCTCAGGTGCAGTCATAACCTTTCGAGGTAGGCTTAGGATCCGACTGTTTCCTTCCTAATTTTTTTTTCTTCACTTATAGAGGGTGTGATCGTAGCTATTATTGTAGTTTGAATGTATCCACCTTGACATGCCATTTTTCTTTATCCTGGGCGTGATCGTCATCCTCGATGTGGGCGTGTGTAAGGAGAAAGGTGACGCAGACTTCCTAAACAACCAAACCACACCACAGAGAGTGATTGAATGTATCCACCAGAAAAATAAAATTATAACCAAATTTAAGAGACTTGTCTCATTGCTTTGCAATACCTTACCATACTGCCATCGAGAGTAAAGTTATATTCGACCTGAACCGGGTATGTATTGCATTTCAAATTTGTTAATTTGTGTTGAATCGCTTTTGTGTTGATAGATCAATCACCCAGGCTACTTGTTACGAGTATACTTAAGTCATGCAAAAAATTTCGCTAGAGTTTTCAACTTCTGGTGATAGGGCCTCTGACTTTGTATGTTATGTATTCGAAAGGGCATAATTATCATTGCTGGTGGCTCAGTACTTTAGCTTGGGTGGTTTGTTCAGTCCGCAAAAATATATACTGTAGAAAGAACTTACTGGTTGGTTCACAAAAGCACATTCTAATAATATATTTTTTCTCATGTCTATAACTTATTCCACACCTCTAATCAACTATGACAACTGGCACGAGTAAAAATACCTATAAATCTTTCAGGTAAGAAATCTAAAGTAAAAATACCTTTGTATCTTTCAGGTAAGAAACCTATATATTGCTGAGACTCTAGTATGTATATATTTTGGGTGCATAAAAATTGAATCTGGTTTTAATTATATATATCGTACCAAATCTAATAGGTCTATTCCTAATATTATCTATATAACCGTCTAAACACTATAATACGTTAAACCGTCAAATATGTCAGGTTTTACTATCCCAACTATTATTGATAAAAAAGCTAAATCACAGAAACTCATTAATAATAGACCGGGATATGATATGAAGTATGTTATTAATTATGTTTATAATTATTGTGGTATTAACGATTATCAACAATTCTTTGATGAACTCTTTGAGACTAAAAGAAAATATGATACTTTATCAGTTATTCGACCCAATGAAACTCCACAACAATGGGCTATTCGGGTTAGAGTTCCTTTACAAGAGCTGGTCTCTGAAAAGAAATGGAGCGTCTATCATGTGTGTTGTTTATATGCGTCATTTGGTAAAGGTAAGCTAGTCGATTATGATTACTACAGACCTAAAATTCACAAAACCCGTATGGCTATTTGTCTTAATTGCTGGCAATTGATTCAAGTCAATGATGTGAAACCAAAGAAAATATATGCTTCTGCTATATATAGATATATTGAGACAGTTGAACCAGCAGATTTGATAAAGCAACATTGGGATTATTCATGTAGCAAAGCTAAAACTAGAGATGGTTCAGCAAGAATTATTCAAAATGCTTGGAGACGATTCAAAGAAAGGGACCCATCAAATGCACGGCTTGCCTGGTTAAGTTTACCAAATGATAATATTCCAGAAGATAAGAAGTTTCTAGGTTTAACGAGCCATGAAGTGAAAAATCCTCAAACCCGAGAACAATTTAATCAGTGGCGTAC